AGTTGGCGCTTGCAGCAGAAGTCGTGGAAGACTCTCAGCTACTACCACAGCATATTTTAGCTCAGTGTCAGGAAAACTGACAGAGTTTGACTAAATAAATTTAGTTTATTCTAAGATCAGCTGGCTGCGGAAGCCATCTTCACCATCTGTCTTGGTGATGGTTACCAAGATGGTTAGATATTTGGTGCAAAACAGAACGGTCCAGTACTAGAACTGTAGTTGATGACAGGAAATGAGCAGATTAATTGTCTGGTTTCGGTGCCTTTGTGCACGGTGATGGCTCGTTTCCCCTCCACTACACGTCTTTAAGCCCATGCAGGTTAACAGTCAGCTGGAAGATCGTCTCCTTGATGTGCAGACTTGTGGCAGCTGGAGTTTAGCCAAACGCTTCTTGTGTCAAACGCCGTGGCAGGTTATGAACATTCGTCAGCACAGAAAACTAATCTTTTCCAAACGGTGTGAAAAGCAATAGCGTCTTATTGATCCCAAACGCTCTGCGAGAAGAGAAGCGAGGCGAGGGCTCGATTGGAAGCTGGCGTCAAAACCCAGCAGCGCCTTGTTGTGTCTGAAACTGTCCAACTATTTATTTCCCTTTATTGGGGGATTTTCTAAGCATGGAGGCTGAGCTTCCTGCAGGAAGACAGAAAAAGGATACGGTGCTGGAAGACAAACAATATTTGGCCTAATCTCCCAGAGGAGCGTACAGTACAGCGAGTCGGAGCTGAATGGGCCAGCAGCAGAGCAGGACTGTGTAGAAGCAGACCGCCGGATATTATTTATGGAGAATCCAAACAAGTGCAGGAAAAAAGATCTCTCTCTTTGTTTGAACAAACAAGCGAGTTCCCACTGCTTTTAGGAGAAAATACCCAAATAAGCACATTAACACAAGCTGCTTAGGTTATTGTGTGAATGCCGAGTCAGCATTCACACCATTGTTTTTCTGTTTGGAGTTCCTTCCACGTTTTTTTTGTAAATCAAACTACGTCTGCACACTTTGTGCGATTATAACCCGTTCACAGAAGTGTTCAGCTCCAACTGGAAGTGTACGCAGCAACTTTTGATATCTTTTAGACTTTTTTTTATCATTTAACGTTAAAAGAAATCACTACTGAAATACGAGCTTATCAGAACCTTAAAAAAAAAAACAATGTTTTCTAAAATCCACTTTTTATTTTAGCCCTCTTCTGCTTTTAGCTTGTGGCTATTGTATTCCTAATTTTAGCCTTTAGCTGCTGTTTTACCAGTCATAGCCTTTAGCTAATGTTTTGCCAACTTTAGTTTTTGTCTGTTTGTTTTTTCAGACTGAGCTACCACTTTGCCCTATTTGCTTTCATCTACTGTTTCGCTTTAATCTCTAGTTTTCTCCCATCAATCCTTGTCTATAGTTGATTTTCCCCTTTCTGGGAGCCGGTGTCCATCTCCAGCAGTCCCTTTGCGGCTGCTGGTGGGGGACAATGGACAGGTCTCCAGTCCATCACAGGGACTAAGAGACAAATAAGACAAAGATCCACACACTCACTCACAACCGAGGTCAATCTGGAGTTACAGCTGAACCCAACATGCATGTTTCTGGGCTGTGGGAGGACGCCAGAGCACCTGGAGGAAAACCCACGTGTGCACAGGAAGAACATGTAAACTCCACACAGAAAGACCCCAGGCGGGGTGCAAACCTGAAACCTACTTGCTGTGGTTCAGTGACAGATTCCTGCATCCTAAATGCACAAAGGAGCGTTCCCGCAGGTCCTTCCTCGCAGCAGCTGTTAGACTCTACAACCATCACTGCTCCCAACAAACTCAATAAGGATTAAATACATGCTGACCTCTGCTCAAACACACACTCTGCCTGTAATACTGTATTAAATAGTCTGTCCTTATCAATGATCCAACACATACTGAACATTATTATTGATATTGTTCATCTTATTTCTTATATATTGTATTGTTTATGAACATTTAGGAACTCTGGTGTGAAATCTTTTTTATCCGTTGCTGCTGATACACTGGAATTTCCCATCCGTGGGACTATAAAGGCTGTTTCTATTCTATTCTATTCTGCAAGGCAACAGCCTTAACCACTGCACCACTGTGCTGCTTTAGCCTATTTTAGTTTTCAAACTATTTGTTTTGTTCATTTTAGCAGTTAGCTACAGTTTTGCCAACCTTGGCTTTTGTTTTACTACAGTTTATGTATTTTTATCTATTTCGCCCAGTTTAGTTCATGTTTTTTTCTTTTACCGTTTGTTAATTTAAGCTTTTTTTTTACTTCAGCTCTGCCTGTTTTGACTTTCACACTCCAGTTAACATCTCATTCTTCAGTAAACTGGTGCAGCACTCAGCACTTTCTCTGAAAATCCCACTTCTCCAGGTCAAATTGACACTTTTCTCCTCTGGGCCAGAAGAAACTGGGCCTGGAGGGTTCAGGAGACACCTGGTGGCTTCATCGCCCCCTACCGTCCACATGGAAGAACTTCAACCAAACAAGAAAAATCAGGCAAAAAACGGCTTTCTGTGCAGTCTCCCAATGACACTTTTATTACTAAATAGCATCAAATTAAAGCACACAGTTTGTAGTCGTGAATGGAGGTAAAGATTATGGTTTTGCTTCGTTTCACTAAATTATTCTTCCTCCATAAACAATTAAGTAAAGTGAGCTCGCGCGCAGGTTAAACAATTAAGACAGTTGAAACGTAATGTCCGCTTGTTGCTTTGGTTTTTCTTGATTAAACTACATCAGCTTGTGCGCCTGGCAGCAACTTTATCCTTTGTGTTGCCAAACATATGCCGCTCTCCCTGACTTTCCTTAAAGAAACCACTTTTTCCACTTCGTCCGTCGGTTCGAGGCTAAAAACAGACGCTCGGGTCTTACCTTAAAAGGTGAGCGTCGTCCCGTCCGCGCGGCTAAACAGGTTAAATATCCTTTCAGGGGGGGTTAAAGAAGCAACACGGGCTGTGAGAGCCGCGCTCACCATCTCCCACTTTCAGCGTCAGCCTCCAGACTGGAGCAACACACGGAGCGAAGCGATTCATCCAGCACCTATCTGTGATGACGACACGCCGCGGGATAGGCTCCGCCCACCCGGAACTGAAACCTCCCTCTGTTGTCACATGGATGGATACAGGTTGTTGTTTGTGAAAACAGCAACAATGTCCACTTCGAGCTAATAAATACTTATAATGATTAAAAACTAAGGTGGGCTTTGGTGTCGCCGCAAGAGTCCCCTCTGTCCAAGCTCCACAGTGGCACCATCTGGTGAAGAGCAGGAAAGTTGCTTCTCTCCCAGCAACTAAACAAACAAAATCTGCATCTTTTGTTCTGATATTACTTGTGTCGTTTAGTCTTTTAATAAGTTGTGTCTTCAGCAGTTGTGGAGAAAGTACTCAAACACTGTACTTAAGTAAAAGTACAAATAAACAGACAAAAATGTACTCTAGTAAAAGTAGAAGTACCATATTAACATTTTTACTTAAGTAAATAAGTACTTGCTTTAAAAATACTTAAAGTATTAAAAGTAAAAGTACTTCCTGAATGTATTACCTAATGCAATGGTCTACATGTCTTTAAGTCTGCGTACCATATGTATATTTTCTGTAATACATTAATGGTCTGAATGACTATCGGCCAGTGGCCCTCACCCCGAAAGTCGCTAAATGCTTCGAAAAACTGGTCATGACTCACATCAAAACAACCATCAACATCAACGAGGACCCTCATCAGTACGCATACCGTGAGAACCGATCAACAGAGGATGCAATCTCCTCTGTGTGGACCACAGAGGAGATTGCATCCTCTGTTGATCGGTTCTC